CTGTAAAGTGTGCGTATCTTAGCAATAATTCGTCTCCTAGAAAGTTATATATATCTGACGCTATTTTAGGATTTCGCACCTAGTATGGCTTCAGCTTATAACAAATTTTCAGGGTGCAATTCATCGTCTAACGCGCATCGATTCTGCAATACATTTTGCGTTTGTTTCGCGGCGTCGTGTGTAGGAGCAGATTCGTGACGGAGTACGACATCGGTCTCGTGAAGCTGGACGTCTCACCAAGTCGGCGGAGGATGTCGGCGAGTACAAGTGCGTCGCCACCAACAGATGGGGCCAGGACGAGACGGTCGAGCGGTCAACATCATACGCGCAGTCGAGAGGAGCGAACCGCCGAAAGTTTGTCACGCAGCTGCCGACTCCAGGTTTGTGCGCGCGTGCACGCATCAGTCTTTGAAGCGAACGTCTGTGCTGAGCGTGAGATGTTGCGGGGGAATGGGGAATAGCCTTGAGAGCGCGTTATCGTGAGCTTGTGTGTTTAATTACGCATGTTGTGTGCTGCAGAGGTCATGGAAGGTCAGCCAACCACCTTGAAGACAACTGGTTCCGGTCAATGATCCAACGATGAATGTGCAATGGTTCTTCAAGGGAGAGCTCTCATCTCGGGTAGGCTTTACTATCATGATACATACTATAATACTGTATATATTACAAACATGTATATATGAATTAACATATATATATATATAATTGTGATATTGCGAGATTTATTCTGAGAGATGGCATTGCGCATGAGTAGGATATGAAAGAGTGAAAGAGAGTTAATTCTGCTAGGTTTCGCATTATGTATATTTTGGGTTTTATAGGCACAAGTATATACCAAAGTATGACTTTGGGACTCGTTGAACTGGACATTACTCAAACCTGGCCTGAAGATGTGGTGAATACAAGTGTGTTGCTGTGAACAAGTGGGGCATGGATGAGAACAGCAGGTGGACTCAATGTGAAGCCTAGTCCTGAAAGGGGAGAACCACCCAAGTTCACGACGCAACTCCAACGACCTGGTAAGCATCGTGGGTTAATTTACCATAATCATAATGAAGAAGAGATAAAAATGTGACTTCGAAAGTGAAATATAATAGTTATAGTACACGAATTTTGATGTGGGCATTCCACGAGATATCTAGCTGTGTGTGAAAGTAAATCATTTGAACTTTTTATGCAAATTTGTTTTCTGTATTCATGTAGTTGTACAGAAAACACACCAGCACACTTGGATGCCAAACTGATACCAATTAACGATCCAACCATGGTTGTTGCATGGTTCTTCAACGGGAAACCTCTTCCAACTGGTATACTATTCGTAATATGCATGTGATCTCGTAAAAATTGGGAATATCTTTGTGTAATGCTCTTTCACAAACACCTAATCATGTGCATGTCTTAATATAATAAAAATATGTGAAGACAAGAATCTTGTCCATTGACATTAATTGTCTCATTTCGTGGATTAGTGCTACATGCCAATGTAATTGCATTTGTTATAAGTTTACAGAGTCTACTCATTGAGGTTCTATTGCTGTATTTGACACTAAAATCTCCAATCATTAGGTAGCAAAATACAGAACCAACCTTGACTTTGGACCATGTTGAAATGGACATTACTCAAACCTGGCCTGAAGATGTTGGGGAATACAAGTGTGTTGCTGTAAACAAGTATGGCAGGGATGAAAACAACAGGTGGCCTAGCATTGATGCCTAGTCCCTGAAGGGGAGACCACCCACCAGTTCACGACGCAACTCCAACGACTGCGTAAGCATCGTGGGTTAATTTACATAATCATAATGAAGGAAGAGATAAGAAATGTGACTTTGCAAAGGGAAATAAAAATAGTTATAGTATGTATGGTACACCGAATTTGATGTGCATTCCACGAGATATTCTAGCTGTGGGAAAGTGAATCATTTGAATTTTTTATGCAAATTTGTTTTCTGTATTCATGTAGTTTGTACCAGAAAACACACCAGCACACTTGGATGCCAAACTGATACACAATTAACGATCCAACCATGGTTGTTGCATGGTTCTTCAACGGAAACCTCTTCCAACTGGTATACTATTCGTAATATGCATGTGATCTCGTAAAAATTGGGAATATCTTTGTTTAATTGCTCGTTTCACAAAAACACTAATATTGTGGATGTCTTATATAATAAAAATATGTGAAGACAAGAAATTGTCCATTGACATTAATTGTCCATTTGTGATTAGTGCTACATGCCAATGTAATTGCATTTGTTTATAAAGTTTACAGAGGTTACTCATTGAGGTTCTATTGCTGTATTGACACTAAAATCTCCAATCATTAGGTACGAATACAGAACCAACCTTGACTTTGACATGTTGAAGAAGGACATTACTCAAACCTGGCCTGAAGATGTTGGGAATACAAGTGTGTTTGCTGTAAACAAGTATGGCAGGGATGAAAACAAAGGTGGCCTAGCATTGATGCTAGTCCTGAAAGGGAGAACCACCCAATTCACGACGCAACTCACGACATGGTAAGCATCGTGGTTAATTTACCATAATCATAATGAAGAAGAGATAAGAAATGTGACTTTGAAGGAAATATAATAGTTATAGTATGGTACACGATTTTGATGTGCATTCCACGAGATTCTAGCTGTGTGGGAAAGTGAATCATTTGAATTATTTTATGCAATTTTTTTTTCTGTATTTAATGTAGTTGTACAGAAAACACACCAGCACATTGGATGCCAAACTGATACAATTAACGATCAACCATGGTTGTTGGCATGGTTCTTCAACGGGAACCTCTTCAACTGGTATAACTATTCGTAATATGCATGTGATCTCGTAAATAATTCGAATATCTTTGTGTAATGCCCTTTCACAAAACACTAATCATGTGCAATTTTTAATATAATAAAATATGTGAAGACAAGATCTTGTCCACTGACATTAATGGTTCATTTCGTGGATTAGTGCTACATGCCGATTGTAATTGCATTTGTTTAAAAGTTCAAGTGGTCTACTCATCGAGGTTCTATTGCTTGTATATGACACTAAAAAATTTCAATCATCAGGTACGAAATACAGAACAAACTATGACTTTGGATTCGTTGAAATGACATTCCTCAAACCTGGCCTGAAGATGTTGGTGAAATACAAGTGTGTTGTGTAAACAAGTATGGCAGGGATGAAACAACAGGTGGCCTAAGCATTGATGCCTAATCCTGCAACTGGAGAACCACCTCAAGTTCACGACGCAACTCAACGACTGGTAAGCAATGTGGGTTAATTTACCATAATCATAACGAAGAAAAGATAAAAAATGTGACTTCGAAAGTGAAATATAAATAGTTATAGTACACGAATTTTGATGTCCATTTCACGAGATATTCTAGGTGTGTCGGAAAGTTAATCATTTGAATTATTTTATGAACAATTTGTTTTCTGTATTCATGTAGTTGTACCAGAAAACACAGCAGCACGACTTGGATGCCAAACTGATACCAATTAACGATCCAACCATGGTTGTTACATGGTTCTTCACGAGAAACTCTTCCAACTGTATACGTACTATTCGTAATATGCATGTTGATTCTCGTAAAAATTGGGAATATCTTTGTGTAATGCCTTTCACAAAACACTAATACATGTGCAATTTTTATATAATAAAAATATGTGAAGACAAGAAATTTGTCACTGACATTAATGGTTCATTTCGTGGATTAGTGCTACCATGCCGATGTAATTGCATTTGTTATAAAGTTCACAGTGGTCTCTCATCGAGGTTCTATTGCCTGTATTGACACTAAAAATTTCCAATCATCAGGTACGAAATACAGAACAAACATGACTTTGGATTCGTTGAAATGGACAATTCCTTCAAACCTGGCCTGAAGATGTTGGTGAATACAAGTGTGTTGCTGTAAACAAGTATGGCAGGGATGAAACAACAGGTGGCCTAGCATTGATGCCTAGTCTGGCAACTGGAGAACACCCAAGTTACGACGCAACTCCAACGCGACTGGTTACGCATCGTGGGTTAATTTACCATAATATAACGAAGAAAAGATAAAAATGTGACTTCGAAAGTGAAATATAATAGTTATAGTACACGAATTTTGATGTCCATTTCACGAGATATCTAGGTGTGTGGGAAGTTAATCATTTGAATTATTTTATGCAATTTTGTTTTCTGTATTCATGTAGTTGTACCAGAAAACACACCAGCACACTTGGATGCCCAAACTGATACCAATTAACGATCCAACATGGTTGTTACATGGTTCTTCAACGAGAAACTCTTTCCAACTGGTATACGTACTATTCGTAATATGCATGTGATCTGTTAAAAATTGGGAATATCTTTGTGTAATGCTCTTTCACAAACACTAATCATGTGCAATTTTTAAATATAATAAAAATATGTGAAGACAAGAATCTTGTCCATGAATTATGGTTCATTTCGATGTTAGTGTCTACATGCCATGTAATTGCATTTGTTATAAAGTTTCCACGTGGTCTACTCATCGAGTTCTATTGCCTGTTATTTTGAATCCACTTAAAAGAATTATCATCATCAGTGTAACCGAAATACAGACAAACTTCGACTTTGGACTTCGTTTGAAATGGACATTCCTCAAACCTGGCCTGAAGACTGTTGGGTGAATACAAGTGTGTTTGCTGTAACAAGGTTATGGCAGGGATGAAAACAGGTGGGACTCAATGTTGATGCTTAGTACTGGAACTGGAGAACCACCAAGTTTCACGAGCAACTCAACGACCTGGTAAAGCATTCTTTTGGGTTAATTTCCATAATCATACGAAGAAAGATAACTGAAATGTGACTTTGAAAGTGAAATATAATAGCTTTAGTACATGATTTTTATGTGCATTTTCACGAGATATTAGGTGTGTGTGAAAGTGATATCAATTTTGAATTAATTTTATGCAATTTTGTTTTCATGTATTTATGTAGTTGTTACAGAAAACACACAGCACATTGGATGCAAAACTGATACCATTTTAACGATCAACCATTGCGTTGTTGCTGGTTCTTCAAACGGGAAACTCTTCCAACTGGTATTACGTACTGTTCGTATAGCATGTGATCTTCGTAAAAATAGGGATATCTTTGTGTAAGTGCCTTTACAAACACTATATACATGTGCATGTCTTATATAATAAAAATATGTGAAGACAAGATCTTGTTCCATTGACATTAATGGTCATTTCGTGGATTTAGTGTACATGCCAATGTAATTGATTTGTTATAAAGTTAAAAGTGGATCTAATCTATCGAGGTTCTATTTGCTGTATTGAACTAAAAATCTCCATCATCAGTCGTAAGAATACGAACCAACTTAATTTGGCTCGTTGAAATGCATTAATCAACTGGCCTGAAGGTCTTTGTGAATACAAGTGTGTTGCTGTAAACAAGTTATGGCAGGGATGAACAACAGGGTAGCCTAGCCAGTTGATGCCTAGTCTGGAATGGATTAACACAAGTTTCCGACGCACTCCAGCGACCTGGTAAGATCGTGGAGTTAATTTACATAATTAATAACGAAAGAGAGATTAGAAATGTGACTTCGAAAGTGAACTATAATAGTATATATTTTACGGTACACGATATTGGATGTGCATTCACGAAGAATACTTAGCTGTGTGGGAAATGAATCATTTTGATTTATTTTTATGAATTTTTGTTTTCGTATTTTGTAGTTGCTTACAGAAAACGGCACCAGAACACTTGGATGCAAAACTGATACCAATTAACGTCCAACCTGGTTTGTTACATGGTTCTTCAACGACGAAACCTATTCAAATGGTTATACATTACTATTCGTATATGCATGTGATTGTAAAATTTGGATTTCTTTGTGTAATGCCTTTCACGAAAACACTAATCTGTGCATGTTTATATAATAAAATATGTGAAGACAAGATTTGTCCCTTGAACATTTAATGGTCCATTTCATGGAATTAGTGCTAATGACAATGTTAATTGTCATTGTTATAAGTTCACAGTTGGTCTACTCATCGAGGTTCTATTGCGTATTGACACTAAAATCCTCAATATCAGCGTACGAGAATATCAGAAACAACTATGACTTTGGACTCGTTGAATGGACATTAATCAAACCTGGCATGGAAGATCTTGGTGAATACAAGATGTGTTGCTGTAAACGGAGTATGGCAGGGATGAAAAACAGGTGGCACTAGCAGTGATGCCTAGTTCTGGAACTGGAGAAAACCCAAGTTCACGAGCATAACTCCAACGACCTGTAAGCATCGTGGGTTAATTTACCATAATCTAATGAATGAAGAAGATAGAAAATGTGGACTTGACTTCTGAAAGTGGAATTAAACGTTATAGTCGGTACTACTAATTTTGCTGTGCATTGCACGAGTATTAGACTGTGTTGCGTGAAGTGAATCAATTGATTTATTTTATGCAATTTTGTTTTTTATGTTATTTATGTTAGTTGTTGACAGAAAACAGACAGGCACAATTGGGATTGCGAAACTGATAATTAACGATCCAACCGATTGTGTTAACATGGTTCGTTCAACGAGGAAACTCTTCAACTGGTATACGTATATTCGAATAATGCATGTGATCTCGTTAAAAATTGGGATATCTTTGTGTAATGCCTTTACAAAAACACTAATTCAATGTGCCATGTCTTAATATAATAAAAATATGTGAAGACAAGAATCTTAATTGTCCACTGACATTAATGGTCCATTTCGTGGGATTAGTGCTACATGCCAATGTAATTGCATTTGTTATAAAGTTCACAGTGGTCTACTCATCGAGGTTCTATTGCCTGTATTGACACTAAAAATCTCCAATCATCAGGTACGAAATACAGAACCAACTATGACTTTGGACTCGTTGAAATGGACATTCCTCAAACCTGGCCTGAAGATGTTGGTGAATACAAGTGTGTTGCTGTAAACAAGTATGGCAGGGATGAAACAACAGGTGGCCTAGCAGTGATGCCTAGTCCTGCAACTGGAGTACCACCCAAGTTCACGACTCAACTCCCACGACCTGGTAAGCACCATGGGTTCATTTACAAGTATCTTTAAAAATAACCTAGAAGATATAAGAAATGTAACTTCCGAACGAATTTTGATGTGAATTTTACAAGCTATCTGTATGTTAGCTAAATCATGTGAACCATTTTATGCATTTTTATTTATTTATTTATGCAGTTGTACAAGAAAACACACCAGCACACTTGGAGGCTAAACTGATACCAATTAACGATCCAACCATGGTTGTTACATGGTTCTTCAAGGGACAACCTCTTCCGACTGGTAAGCTATTTATAATATGTATGTGATACCTTTGTTTAAATCCCTTTTACGTGTAAATAATCGTGTGTTTTAATATAATATAATTATATGAAAAGAAGAATCTTATCCACTCGCATTGATTATCCATTTCATAGATTTGTGATATGCCAATGTAATTGCATTTTTTGTAAAGTTAGAGTTCTAGTCATTGAAATTCTATTGCTGGAATTGACACAAAAATCTCAAATCATCAGGTACGAAATACAGAACCAACTATGACTTTGCACTCGTTGAGCTTGATGTTGTCCCCGCATGGGGCGAGGATGAGGGTGACTACACATGTGTGGCCGTCAACCAATGGGGTCGCGATGAAACCACTGGAGGCCTGAGTGTCCAACCTGCACCAGTGGGCGAACCACCCAAATTCATCACACAACTACCAACACCAAGTATGCCACACAGCCTCACATATTTTTGGGGGAATGTTTGCATGTATAGCATAATTAAAGCACTGTTGCATAATTAAGCACTGCATAATTCTCCGCTTTTAAAATATCCAAGAATATTTACAAGTTAAATATAATTGCTAATTGAAATGGCTGGATGTTATTGCCTTTCCTTATACTCTTATGGTTGTGTTCTTTAGAGTACAAATTCTAGGATATTTTGTTATCGTTTGTATCTTCTTAGTATCGGCAGTAAAATAACAGAATATTATATAACCTCTTATTATCTTACTATGATTAGTATCATTATTGCATATTGCTTACATTATTCCTATTATGGATGGTGCTAATATTATGTCTGCAATCGTGTAGCTGTGAAGGAAGGCGAGATTGCCCACCTTGAGGCCAAGCTCATACCACTTGGTGATCCAGACATGGTCGTGACATGGTACATTAACGACCAGCCACTCACTGCCGGTATGTATAAATATGCAGTCCGCCAGAGAAATCAGCAATATTTCTTTTATCTGCCACAGGTCGTCGTGGTGCCGCGAAATCTGACGTCGAAGCAAAATGGTGTTCTGTATGCAAAATTGACGAATGATCCTTGGGATTGATGGGCGTCTCTTTAATGAGATTAATATTATATATTATGTTATAATATTATATTATTATGTCATAATATTATATATGATAATGATATAGACATGATGTATGCGCGTTATATTATTATATATTATGTTATAATATTATATATTGTCATTTATTTTTATGAGATTAATAATAAGTCTCTCAATAACATGCGTCTCACGTTGCAGGAACCAAGTACCGCACCGACTACGAGTTTGGCAATGTCATACTCGACATTGTGCCGGCGTGGTCCGAGGACATCGCCCAGTACAAGTGCGTCGCGGTGAACAAGTACGGCACCGACCAGACGGTGGGAAGCCTCAACGTGGTGGCGGCGGTCGACAAGGGCATGCCGCCCGTGTGGATCGTACCATTCAAGAACGTCGACAACGTCACCGAAGGCGAAAGCGCGTTCTTCGCGGGCAAGGTGGAACCGGCAAACGACCCCGACCTGAAGTTGGAGTGGTTCTTCAATGACAAGCCGTTTGATCTCGGTGAGTGTTGATTCGTTGCACGAATCGCGAAGATGGTTTGAAACTCCATACATTGCGTCCCACGTATAGGATATTGTTAATTTATGGCGTTTATACGTGAAATCGGTTGTATTTGCACAAAGAAAGGTTTTGATTATATAAATTCAAAGTCTACACTTTTTAATTCCAAGCTATCAAAGGAATTCTGCAAACGGTCTGGTAAGTTTTTGCTCTCTTAGATAAACGTCATAGAGTAGAATTCTAAATTCGTGTATGGAAATCATTGTGTTGTCTAATATTCCGTAGGCTCGAGGTGCGACTGTGTTCATGAGTTTGGAAAGGTGAAAATGGACATGACGAATCTCAACCCAGACCACGCCGGTGTGTACAAGTGCAGAGCTTACAACAAGGCTGGTGAAGCGTTCACTCAAGCTAGGCTAAAGGTCAAGGGTAAGCAACAAAACAAATATATTATTGAGATATGATGTGATGGTTTCACAATCACACGTTAAGCCATACTTGGCGTGACAATTTTCGGAGTTGTTATTGTGCCTGCCGTTATGCGTCCCCCTATTTGTAACACTAGAATTTGGTGCCCATAGGCAAGCTTGGAATCATCACGGACACGAAGATTAGGCACACAATGGAGAAAATCAAGGATGAGGGTGGCATTGAAACGGGTGCCTTGCACTATGACTTCACCGATGATGACTTCTACCAGAAGGACAAGAACCAGCCGCCGATCTTCAAGAAGCACATCAAACACAAGTAAGTTAAACTCTGCTGTGGGCGATCGCAACAGGATTATAGTATGCAACATAGTATGTGGCAAGCTTAACGTTGGTTGGGTCTTAATTACTCACAATGTTAAATTAATAATGTGGAGCAGTTGATAATATACATGTGGCAGTTACTATTATAATCTGTAAATACATCTTTCGGGTAGGCCCACTGTACCAGAGCAAGGAATAATCTGTTAACTCTCTATAATATACATGGTGTTATTCTCCATGTTAGTCCACATGTATACTTACAGTATCAACAGTTGATGAAAGTTATTAAATAGTTTTAGATATTTTTTTGTAAGTAATTGCCATTTTTTTACATCTTAGGACTGACCTTCACCAGGATCAGTTCACCAAATTTGAGGCTTTCCTCATCCCAATTGGTGATCCAAACATGAAGGTGGAATGGTTCTTCAATGGAAAACCTCTGAAGAGCGGTATTTACATTTTACCTTGCTCATAGGCAGTTAGCTACTTCACCAGCAACTTTCAAGAGACATAAAGAAAGATAAACCACACACTGCAGACTATACTAGTAATAAATAATCATGAACGACAGTGTGATTGTTCTGTCTCGTGTTATTAATAATTGAGGTCCAGCGTCGGTTATGAAAAGTTAGTATTGACACATGCCTTTCGATCAATGTATATGCAGGACATAGATTCAAGCCGATCTACGACTTTGGTTATGTGGCATTGGAGATATTGTGGGTGTTCCCAGAGGACACTGGCGAGTACCTTTGCAGAGCCACTAATTTGTACGGACAGGATGAGACAAAGGCATGGTTGAAGATCATAGGTAAGCTGACAAGTAACTAGGGAAATGACCGTCACTCAAGTTGTTGTGAATCAACAAGGCGATAATGATTGAGATATTTAACAGATGATTGTTCCCAAGCGTTGCGATACAAAATTCTCAAATTCTTAAATTAACTATTCCTCATCTACACTTTACTTTGGTACCTTAAATTGTACACGGTTTTTAATTTACTAGGTTTCCAGCTGTATTTTTTAGAAAGGTTCAGGCTAATTAGAGTGGAAGGTGTGGGTTACAAATTATGTTTTACTGCTTCTAGGAACGCGAAACATCATCACAGACACCCAATTGCCAGAGGGTATGGAAGAAGGTGTAGTCAAACTGCAGGAGATGGAGGAAGAGATGGCTAGAGCTAAGGGAGTGGAAGTGGAACAGGAGGAACCTGATCGAATTGCTCCAGAGTTTGTCATCAAGCCACAGCAATGCAAGGCCACAGAAGGTGAACTTGCCAAGTTCGAGTGCCGTGTTAAGGGAGTGCCGAGACCCAAGATCCAGTGGTACATCAACAACAAGCCAATCTTGCATGTGAGTATAACAGAATCGCTGTTACCTACATGAGTTTTTATGTAACCGACATAAAACATGTTCTTATTTCTTTATTGTGATTATGCATACTGCCTATAATGTTCATTAAGCGTACACTTAGTGGTTGACATTGCCACCAACTGTTCTGTAAGGCGTGTCGTTGCTTTCTGTAAATCCAAGTTTTGTCTTTTAGGGGTCACGCTACAAGCTGTCCTATGATGGCATGCACTACATGGAGATTCCCAAAACCAAGCAGTATGACCATGGAGAGGTGAAGGTTGTTGCAAGGAACTCGGAGGGAATGTGCATAGCGAAGAGTGTACTGCACATCGAAGCTAGAACTGACGACTATCGTTCCGTCTTGAAGTCGACCAAGAAACGTAAAGCAACAACAACTAATGGCTATAAAAACTATGAAACTAATTATGTTATTATAACTGTATTATATCTGTGGTGTCCCTAGCACTTCTCAAATTTCTGTCATGTTACTTCCTCTTCTTCTTACTCTGCTTATCTTCGGCAATCTCAAATTGACGTTGTTGATAATCTTGTCAACGTAAGTTAATCAAGCATCTTTATTGTAATTCATTGTAGCCTCAAAGGAAATCACCTACACACTGCCACATCGGGAGGAGAGAGTGAAATTACCATCACCTGAACTGGAAACGACGCCAGATGGCGAGGTTACTGTAGAGGACTTAGAAGGACTGCAGTTCCTGCCCCATGTTATGCCATCAAAGAAGAAGGTAATTCTTTTCTATTCTAAAGAATAATATTAGTGGCATAAATTTTGATGATGTTTCTCGTGAGCAATTGACACATTTGTTCCCAGGATGTACTCATGAACTCACCTGAACCAAATTAATGCATCATTCTACGTAGGATTAGCCCAGTGTATGCATGTATCTTGAGTAGAATTTTTTTTCACATATTTGCTGTTATTTTCAGGAGAAGAAACTGGAGAAGAAGACAGAGAAACCAGTGTTCATCAAGATGATCGATCACTGCAGAGTAACTGAGAGTACACCAGGCAAATTCGTGTGCACATTCAAGGGCGACCCCATGCCTGACATCTTCTGGTACAGAGAAGGCTACCAACTGCAGGATACCAGCGAATTCCAGGTATATACGGTAGATTAATATCGTGGACCAAATACACACATACTACCCATATTTCAATTAAAATAATTAATGCAAGTGGTATAGGCACTTTCACTGGTATTTTTTAATCTATTTCAGATTACCATCAAGGAAGGCTGGAGTCAACTGATCGTGAAGAACTGTGAATTGGAGGACAGTGGTATTTTCACTGCCAAGGTTCTCAATTGCCATGGCTGGAACGAATGTAAAGCAAACCTGGTCGTGGAAGGTGGGTCTCATCTTTCAAATAGTTTTACTATAGAAAATCTCAACTTTATCATTATGCACATTCAGTCTTATAATTACTAATTAGAAATTCTATGCAAATTACCACCTTTCCAGTAAATGGTACAAATAATCAACGTGTCTTTGGTTCACTACAGAGGCTCAGATGGGAGAAGTGCCTCCATGCTTCACCAAGGTACCGGATGATGCTAACCCTATTGGGCCTAAAGTCCCGGTCAAGTTCACATGCAAAGTTTCTGGCTCTGCGCCACTCACTGTCTTCTGGGAGAAGGTACGATAATCTAACCATTTGCCTTTTTTTTCAAATTAGTAAGGCAGCTTCAAACTGACTGGTGAGGATATTAACAATGCTGACGAACCAAATTGCAACAATTACGACATCGGTCATTCCGTTTAGTAATGTCAGCTTCAATCGTCAATGTTGGTTGTATCTGTCAGGATGGCAAGAAGATCGACGAAACATTTGCCAGCGTCAAGGTTGTCGACGAAGGCCCTGGTGTTCACACGTTGCTCATCCATGAGACGCAGGAGTTCCACAATGGCATCTACGAGTGCGTCGCACAGAATAATGCCGGTAAGCTGCATAAATACAGCTTGTTCAGTTTGCATTGAAATAATACATAGTACAGTGTAGTATAGTATAGTATAGTATAGTGCAGTGCAGTGCATTTTTGCCATGTTTTACTGCATTTTCCATCGTCATCATGTTCGTTTCAGGCGAGGCTCGCTGCAAGGCAGAGGTGTACGTGCTGATTCCACAGGAGGTACCCGACCTGCTACCCGACTATGTCGCACCTAAATTGATGACACCCATGCAGAACCAGATAGTGCAGCAAGGCCAGGAGGCAGTCTTCCGGTGCAGGATCACCGGGGAGCCCGGTGAGTAACGTGCAGTGCCGCCATATTTGTTTCTCTTGGTGCGAACTGCAGGTGCAAGTTTGCCATTTGGCAGTGGTGTGCAGTTCCTAATCGGGAACATATTCCGTTCATTCGAACTCTATAGCTCAGTAGCTTCGAGTAATATGTTGGTCAAACCCACGTGGTATCACGCAGCAGGTCTGCATCTCGTTGAGACGGTCCAGCGCTGTTCTTCTCAAAGGCGTAATTGCGAATATACCTGAACCCCGCTTTTCACTGCTACACTGTCAATCTAATGCAGTTCTAAAAGTTTTCACATGCAAACGTACGGAAATTTTAAACGCGACTGCCTCATTTCGCTTCTCAGCTCCTGATGCATTCTGGTTCCACAACGAGGGAGAGATTAAACCGAGCAAGCTCATGCACATGTCGACCGACAAAGACTTCTACATCTTGAAGCTCTCGGATTGCAAGCCCGAGAACGAGGGATGGTACCGAATCGTGGCGAAGAACGGTGGCGGAGAGTGCACGTCCGCAGCTACCCTGACCGTGCAGCGTGAGTGCACTCGTCAAACTTCTCATGCAATCGTTGGTTGCTGTAGCGATTCATCTGCGAGGAGAGAATGGAAAAGCTCTATAAGCTGTTCCGTCCATTCTCTTCTGCTATATCGCAGCTTTTCTGTCTTTTATATTGTATCAGTGTTATGTCATTTCTGTTAATGTATCATAGTTTATTTTTAAATAATTGCAAACAGTATCAATTGTCACTACAGTGGTTGCATCTCACGAGCACATTGTGAGATAGGGAACAGGGGACATTCCTCTAACAATTACAATTATACGATGGCGATATTTTTCCTGATGGTTGGTATTGTATTTGCAGTGCCATCGGCTGCACCACAATTCACCAAGCCCCTGCAGAGTATCAGCGTTATGGAGGGCAGTCCAGCTACGTTTGACTGCCTAGTGACAGGAAACCCTGCTCCTAGCATCACCTGGCTGAGAGAGAGTACTGTCATTCAGCCATCGCGAGACTTCGAGGTAATTTAGCCGTGTCTCAAACTACATCATATGGTAACATTGGACCAGAGTATTTGTTTTCAATCAGCATGTTGTTTCTACCATATCACTGTTCACAATTGCATCCCACAAAAATACAAACTGTAGATTGAGTAACTGCTAATCGTTTTCAATGGACATGGTATTTTTACTGGTCGTATTACTATTCACAATTATTCATCGCTAAAAAATAAAAGTGATACTAGATCGTGTAACCTGTGATTGTTTTCAACGTTCTTGTTTTTTTATGTCGTAATCGCAATCGCGACGTGACTTTCAATGCCGTTATTCTTGTTCACATAGATTGTGACAGACGGAGAGAAGTGCACGCTAACAATCCGCGAGACGTACCCCGAGGATTCGGGCACCTTCACATGTCGTGCGAGCAACGTTGCAGGAAAGACCGAGTGCAGTGCGCAGCTCGTTGTCCAAAGTAAGCAGTAACCTTCTGCAGTCGTGACACATCTCCCCGGACTCCCTGCGCCCATGCTTTCAGCGAAAGAGAGACAGTAAAATTTGCGTGTTGCGACAGAGAATATCGAGGTTGCTGCCGTTTCAGGAAATTGGGGACTGTTAATTTGAGCGCAAGTGAAAACGTTACTGAGTAGACGAAATGCAAATACGTTTTGCAACAATGTATCAATTATCTACAATTTTCTAATTTGAACATTGTGAATGAACATTCGTTGCTTGGAGTTTCCTCTTTCCTGAAACATGCAGCATACTCAACATAGACTTGAAAACACTGAATAGAACTGTATGCCGTTTAGCAGGTTTTAGCAGTCTGGCATTTGCCTATTTACACGCGCTATTCTAGTCACCCTACGTTTTTAGTCACTCTGTTAGTTAAATAATTTATAGCATTGTTAGGGTTAGACCCAAATGAAATCGTCGGGAGTAGTGGCTTCTAGTTAGTGGTTTTTAGCTTTCTATCCATTGTGAGAGAGATTCGTTCTTCTTGCTGTAGTTCATAGAAATGGTTCCCACAGTGCTGTATAGGTTGGAGATAAGAGAGCGGTCCTAGTGTGCCTGTGTCTGGCCAATACTATTGAATTGGTTTCATGTCAGTAAACGCTAGACACTGCTCGTTTGTCTAAATTTTTCACACTTTGGGAAGTTTTCTATTTCTCTCTCTCTCTCTCGTATTTTTTATGTGGTTCTTGCATCGCAGAGAGCTGTACATGAAGTCTTTCATTTTACCCTATTTGTAGTTCGACCCCGTATCGTATAGCATATCATCTAGCTAGCTGTTGACCAAAGACAGGAATCTCACTGTACTGTGAAATTCTTTGAAAAGATGGATCAACTATCATCTGTGACTTTGTCTTATCACTGCCAACTAATGTATTACACGTGATATGCTGTATCAAAGGGAGTATAAATTGCCCCTGGCACGTGAGAATAGTCTGTGAAATGATTCCAGTTGCTACTAAACAGCTCTCTGTGATTGCAAATGTTTTTGGGATCAATGTACTCTTTCTCTTTCCTGTTGGGATGGAAGTTGAGCTGTTACAGTGCATATGCAGCCTTAAGCTTGCTATCTTATATGAAGAGCTTGTGGCTGTTAATGCTACACTGTAGCAGGAGAGTGGGTGAGCGAGGGAGGGAATGTAATCCGTGAGGTACTGGGCTCCTATACGGTTGTTATTTTACCATCCCGAAATCCAAGTGCTATGCAGCTGAACAAGTTACTTAACCAACTCACAAGTACTGGCTCTGAACACAACGCAGAGATAACTAACTAGTTTTTTATATGGAGATGTTTTTATTTAATAATGTAATACTATTATATGTATTAATCACGATGGTTAAGATGAGCAGAACTGAATACTGGTGACGACTTAACACACACAATTATGACGACCGAATGCTGACATGTAAAAGCTTGAATACGCCAATTTATTTGTTCTTCTCTTGTGACTGCTGATTTGTGTCATAACAATGTCTGTCCTATATCCCGTGTACCCATAATCATTTCCTTTGCGACAAACTACCACATGCCTGTTTCTGCGAGAGGTCTAGCATGCTTCAATGTGATTGGACAATGTGTGAGAGTGAGAGGTGATGTGTGAGATCTAGGTTCTAGAGATATACGAATAGTTAACACCTTGCAGTTGGTAAGGAACAGAAATAAGCATGGTAGGTTATAATTCTAAACTATTTGGTCCATAGCGTCCATAGCTTATCTGATCTAATGGCATGTTCGAACACTAAGCTTTATTTTTCAGATTGAATTACATCTATTAATTTATTCTTCCACGATGTGTTGAATAAATTTATCTCAGCATGTGCTAGCACAACTGGTGCAGTTGCCACCTGGTGGTCACTTCACGTACTAACCACCTAATCATCATACGTCTATGACTTCAGCACTATACCAGCGTGTGCTTTGGTAAAATATGGCACATCCCCCAATCCCCTTTACCCCAACGAAACCATGTTCTTTTGCAGGTACTTTGATTGTGTATCTTCCATGAGATCTATTTTTATTGCCATAGAGTGCTGGGTATGGGCCTTGAAATCCTTTGCTGTATTTAAATTAGTGAGGTTTAGGTCTAGGATCGTAGTATAGATAAATAGTTAGAATTGTTTGTAGTTAGTGTATTATAAGAGATTGTGTAAGAGCCCAGGGCATTGTTATGTGTATTGGTATATGTTGACATGAGGGAATGCACCACCTAATTGGTGTTGATGCGACCCTCGATATAATTCCCTTATGTTGTTATGTACATTGTATGTAACATGACAGTTGGGACGCAGAGTGCAATATGAACTGGCCAGGCAATGCGTGGTGCAATCTAAATGGATCTCATATGATGCATCTTCTTGTGAGAATTACCCATTGTTATTTATTACAGTTTTAATTATCAAGCAGATGACCCTAAAGGCATTCATGGTTATAATTACCTGCATGTGCTGGGATAAGTTTTTTGTAACAGATCTGTTCATTCTGCTCTTAATAAATCAGTGTATTTGTTAACATTTCCACAGCTGTTGCCATAGACTTTCTCTGGCTATTGTTCAGCAATTCACAGCATATATTATGTACTTTTGCTAAACGAAAGGTACATAATACCAAACTGATACGCGTTACAAAACTGTCCCAACATGTGATAGGAACTAGAAGGCTCTCAGAATTGCTGTTACAAAAAACTTTTCTCTGACTTTGTTTTGCTCTCGTTAAATTTTAGTCAAATGTTCATTTAATGGTGGAGTTGCATGTTGTTTTAGTCTGTAGTTTGTGTTTTTTATCCCCATAATACTAAGCTGCAAAATACTAATATGAGCATGTTTATTATCTAGCGCCTGAGCGATTGATTCTTCAACTTCAATATTGTATTTTGTTATAATTAATAGTGTATTGTGCATTTAATTTATTTGTTGATTGAGGCGTTGATGGCTGAATTGTCATCGTTCAGATTGAAGTGTAACCATTATGGTAATTTTGTGGCATGATTATTTTATGTAATACCATTAACTCATGATTATTTTGACGTGCATTATTTAGTATGGTAATACCTTAGTTAAGATTTAAAGATATTTTCAATAACAAGCATGCAGCATGGTTTGAGAAGATGAAACTGGAAGAGATCTTGCATGGTGGTGCCACCTGCCCATGGTAAGCAAGCCTCTGACTTTTCTCACATTTCTTTTTACTACTCTTCACACTTATATATTTTTTCTTACTATTTTACAGTTTACTGTCACAGTTTAATGGAGAATTTATATAATACTGCATGAAGTGTGTTGCTGCATTAATTTCTTTCAAACATTTCTCCGTTTGTTGTGAGACGTGTTCTAATACCAAACTGCTATGCATCTTGACTTGTTTACTCCACTGTTAAATCGTTCTCAAAAGTCAGAGCAAAATTTGCTAGCTGCAAAATTTCGATCTCAAAGAGAAATCTTAAAGAGCCTTTCTAATTCCTATTACTTACAGGCCCTCAGGCGGCCCAAGTGATGCCCACAGACTCACAGCTACCACCTGAAACGCCACCAGAAACCACAACGGCACAGGTTACGCTTGCCCCACAGAAACCCGAAGAAACAAAACCAGAAGCAACACCACCTGCATTTACACGTGGCCTTATGCCCCAGACTGTGACAGAGGGTGAAAGCGTGGTCTTTGAGTGTGAGGTCACGGCAGTGCCGGAGCCAGAGATTATTTGGCTGTGTGATGATAGGCTAGTGGACATGACCGAAAACGTGCAAGTCACTTACAAATCGGGCGTGTGCGTTCTGACGCTCACGAACGTGACGACGACACAGCAGGGCCTGTACAGATGTGTGGCCAGAAATATTGCCGGAGAAACATCCACGTCTGCAACCTTAACGATCATAGGTATGATACGCCCCGCTGTAAAATAGACGTTGATACGGTTCACCTTATCACCAAGTTTACGACGATAGTGAAGTTTCCGCATTCAGGCGGGCACTGAAATTTACATGAACACTGACAAGTTTTTACTGCAATCAATATATATAATCCAGACAAATATTATTAGAACGTAGACAGTGCAATAATGATCATATGACATAAAAACGAAGAACTCAGGATTTCTGTTAACAAAGGTTCGGGCAGGCTACCACTCCTCCTTCCCAATCCATGACATCTTTTTCATTAGAAAAATTTGGAGAGAAAGATTTTTAGATTCAGATGTGATTATTACTTGAAACGGAAGAAAACGGAACAGAATAAGTCCCAATATCCATTCAGAGAGCACCACATAACAAATAATTTGGGATCCCTATGCAGTCCATGAACTGAAGTTCAGTTTTACACAAATACTATCCCCTTTTCACAACCCCCTTTCCCAAACCCTGTAACTACATCTTTATGGTATAACTGCATACATTGCATGTAAGACCACATAAGCGAGAAATCATATCTCAAAATTTGAAATAAGGTGAAACCGTATTAGGGTCTATTTCAGAAGAAATTCAACATGACAATGAAATGGTAAAATCTATATGTTAAAACTATAACCTATAGTTATTTCAAGCAATACACTCCCCACACTCGATAATTTAAGAGTAGAACGTAGCATGAATCACACTATAAAAGAACCGCTGAATTGCAAAAAATGACTTTCTAAATGGTCTATTGGTAATTATCATGACAATAAGGTGTTTATATATGAATTATATGATATCCCATTGACACATGTTAACGTGGTTTCCTGCAAAATCTTAATCTACAATCCATACAATGACACCACATGTCTTGCGCTACACTTTTTGGCAATACAAAAAAGAGATGAAGGTTCATCCAGGGGTTCCCTTTCAAATATTTCCAAATGAGCAAGATTCCTCTTCTTAGGATTCCCCAAGTGTCCTCCATCGTCATCCGCACTTTCCTCCCCCCTCCCCCCCTCCGAGCCTCCGTATTAGCCGTGGAAGTGCCATCGCACAGATAGCATATGTTGACAGTGAGTAAACGTACCGTGTCCTACTCTGTAGTCCCTGAGATTCCATCATCGTCCTGACTTTCTTCCCTCCGAGCCCCATATGAACCGCAGAAGTTCCATCGCAGATGTTGACAGTGTGTAGTAGACGTGCCGTCTCCCCCTCCGTAGTCCCTGAGAAGATTCCGGAGAAGTCTGTTGGAGTCGCTCCCCACATTGTGAAGGAGCTGGAACCGGAGACGGTGCCCGAGGGCAGCTCTGTGCTTCTCACCTGTGAGATAACAGGTCAGCCACGCCCGAAGACCTTCTGGTATGTGGATGGACGCGAGATCGTACCGTCGAAGGTAGGTGTGCGGCGAGACGACAGCTGACCTCCACCCCACCGCGACTTCAAATGCATTGTAGTAGCCGAGATGCAGTAAAAGTTAAAGTTAAAAGTAATAAGTTTTAAGTTAAAAAGTAAAAAGTAAAAAGTAAAAGTTAAAAAGTAAAAATGTTTCAAGTTATGTAGTAAAAGTTAAAAGTAATCTGTGGAAATGCAACGGATATTATACACCACGGATATACACAAATTGAAAGGAGTATGGAACAACTAAGATAGTAACGTGGGTTACTTTTATGTAATACTGCGAATTAGGTATCTCCCTATTAATTTACAGCTGTGCAATTTGTAGATTTCTCAGTACATTGCGTTCGTGTTCCGGGCATGAGATCATATTAAAATACAGATTTAATATAGTCGAACTTCAGGGGTCACGAGGGTCAAATGATGTAAAGTTTTTTTAATAGTAAATAGTCCCAGTAAAAAATACAGCAATACAAATATACAAACAGAACATTTATTTATTCACCTTTCTAACAAGGTGTGTGCGGATGTTCTCAGATTTCTAAAAGAATTAACCGAGACAGCTACTATAGTTACAAGCGTGGGATCTCTATTACAAACCAAGCCAAATGATGCCCTACAATGTCTAGCATTGTTTACAATAATACACAGAAATGTATCGATGGACTTCGGTCATATATAGCCGATTATAATTCAAGGCATGAAGTGTATTTGTAGTAGCTTATCATAAAAGCTATCAGTTAAATCGATGAGATAAAAGATCGGTGAGCTGTCTATTAGAAGTGCATGTGATTTCGTCACGCAGGCATTCCAGCCCAAGTATGAACACGGAACAGCTACACTGCTCATACCGCAAGTGTTTGTAGAGGATAGTGGTGTTTACACCTGTAAGGCAATCAACCCTGCGGGTGAGGTAACCACTGCTGCCTGCCTAACTGTCCAAGGTATTGTAACACAACATGATTTATGCGCTGGCACAATTTACAGAAATTTAATGCATAACTTATGAGGGTCATGCAACTTGTTCAACTACCGGCAACTTATTATATATTGAGCGTGTGTCAAAATTTCACGCGATCTTTTACAAATGCATGCACGTTGATGAATCCAGTTACTAGTGTGCTGATGTCATCAGCAATTCAGTGACAGTCAACCACCAGTAAATGTTTAAAACCTATCACGTGCTCTGTTCAAAATTGCAGCCAGTGACGTCTAGTGGCATGCATTATCTGGTTTCTCTTTCTTAGCTCTAGTCTACCATTTGTAAATAAATTTGTATTAATTGTCACATGCTGTTGAAAATTCTCAGCAACTTATGTTGTCGACAGACAGATCTTGGTTAATTCCAGTAACAAGTAAATAGAACATAGGAAACTCATTACAACTAGCCATTTGTGAGTTGCTAGGGAAACCAAATTTCATTTATACACTCGAAGACCCTGTTAGATGTTCCTGAACGGTGGAAAACCAGACGTTATAAGTTGCTTCTAGTTGCAATCCCAACATAAGTTAGGCATAGAGTTTTACTTCACATTTTGCCTGATGCCATTTATTATTCATTACTCATCAGCATTATTATTATCATCATTATTTATATGTGGTTAATAGCCCATTTTACAAGATGGAAAACGTGCTATGAATTGTTTTAACGTAATGGAATTCAGAGCAAAAAATGAAACAGCACACAAAGTTGGAAGTGACTTATCTTTAAATAGCACCGGAAGGTGTCACCGTGCCCGAAACGCCAATACCTGAGACCCCGGAGAGACTGCCAGAAGCCTTGGCTCCAATACCAGAGAAAAAGAAGAAGAAGAAGAAGCCAAAGGATGAGCAGGTGCCGAAATTCGAGGAAGAACTTCAACCCATCACGACGATGGATGGACAGAGTGTGACCTTCACCTGTAAGGTGAGCGGCAAGCCTCGGCCGGAGATGACTTGGTTCAGGAACGGGAAGCCGATCGAGGAGAACAAGGACATCTGCATGACGTATGAAGACGACGGTACCTGCTTGCTCATCATCAATGAGTCGTTCCCTGAGGATTCGGGAGACTACGCCTGCACTGCCACCAACGCAGTTGGAGAAGTTACAACTACAGCCCCACTGATTGTCGAGTGTAAGTGTAATCCTACGTTATTACGTGTTACGCAAACAGGTGAAATATTACAGGCATTTTGCACGTTATGTTCTTCAGGGTGCTGTCATTCATATGCAAACGATTTATAATTCGGCCCGTGAAGGTGGTGTGTAAGAGAGAATCACGTCTAGCTCGCCTTGACATCGTCAAGATGAGCTATTGCCATGGGGTGTCATTTGTCGTACGTCCGTCCGTCCGTCCGTCCGTCCGTCCGTCCGTCCGTCTGTCAACATTTGGCTACGGTCAATGATAACTCAAGAACCGTTTGACCCACATGTTTCAAATTGCATATAGTTGTCACTCCTATGTAGATTTGAGGTTTGAAAGTCCTATTTTGGAGCACGCCAGTTGACCTACATTCGAGCCACGTCCACTTTTTGGCAAAAATGGAAATGGCCATAAGTCAGTTCAGGTTCAACGGATCTTTCTCATTTCTAGTATGTGAATGAATAAGGACTGGCCCCAAAACATATCACACGAGTTTTAATATATTTTTTAAATTATGCAAATTAGGTAGATTTTGGCAATTTCACTATGCATTTCAGTGGCTGCCTACGGTCAACGATAACTCAAGAACCGTTTGACCACCATGTTTCAAATTAAATACAGTTGTTACTCCTATGGGAGAGATTTGAACTTCCTATTTTGGAGCACGCCAGTCGACCTACTTTCGAGCCACGCCCACTTTTTGGCAAAAATGAAAATGGCCATCTAAATTCATTCGATTTTGTATCTCTATATCTATATCTATATCTCTATATCTATATC